CTCCCCGTAAAATTTCCTCCCTGAGAATGATGCAACAGCCAGGAGGAATGGCTCCACCGCCCATGGGAATGGATCATCATCAGCAGCAGCCTCCACAGCAACAGCCGTACCCACCGCAGCAGTGGATGATGATGCCGCCGCAGCAGCACCAGCCGGCTCAGGCGCAGCCGCCTTCATTCTGGCCTCAGCAGCACTACGGTGTGTCGCCTGATAACGCGGCCTCCGCTGGGCAGGCAGGTGGCGGAACGGATGAGGTTCGATCTCTGTGGGTTGGGGATCTTCAGTACTGGATGGACGAGAATTACCTCAGCAACTGCTTCTACAACAGCGGAGAGGTATATATGTTCTTTGAATATCAAGTTATTTGAGATTATCTCTTGAAGAATGTTGTGATTTTGTTTCTATTTTTTCTTTCTTTTGTGTCTTGTGTACATAAATTACATTGTTACGTTGTTGCTTTTTTTTTTTCCTTTACTGTTAGAGTGAGTTAGGGGTTTCTGCTTATCTGCTTATGATTTCTTTGAAATTAACCAAACTATTGCCTTCAAATTAACCAAATTATTGCCAAGTGTTAGATTATTTTGAAGAAAAAATGTCTTGCGCTGAAACAATCTGTCATGCCTTTTTCTGAAAAATTGTTTTCCACAGAAAAATTGTATTCCAGAAATGTTAGGCTAACCCAAATTTTATGTTACAATTGGATATATATATTCATTTACTTTTTGGAATTGTCATTAGTTGCAAGATATGTGGGTGTGTAAACCGTGTGTTCCAACCCCAACCTGAATTTAAATGGTGTGCTCCTGACCTGTTCAGTGTTATCAAATGGCGGCCATGGCGGTATGGCGTGGCGGATTTTTGACAATCCGCCATGCAAAATTTGTGAATGATGGCGGTCATGGCGGCGCCATAGAACACCACGGCGGCCGCCATGGCGGCCGCAATGGCGGAATTTTGGCAAAACGCCATGTACCGCCATCCGCCATTAATAACACTGGACCTGTTTATGTGAATTTCTTTCTTCCACCAAAACTTTTTCCGTTGGTTTACCAATCAACAACCATCAGTGACTTGTTCTTTGTTTTCAGTTTGTATCTGCTAAGGTAATTCGTAACAAGCAAACTGGCCAATCCGAGGGGTATGGCTTCCTTGAGTTCAGGACTCGTGCTGCTGCTGAAAATATACTTCAAACATATAATGGTACAACAATGCCCAATTCTGAACAGCCTTTCCGCATGAACTGGGCCTCTCTAGGTGCTGGAGATAAGCGCTCAGATGGCGGGCCCGAGCACACAATTTTTGTGGGGGATTTGGCTGGTGAGGTCACAGATTACATCTTGCAGGAAACTTTCAGGGCTGTGTACCAATCTGTCAGGGGTGCAAAAGTTGTTACTGATAGGAACACTGGACGTTCAAAGGGTTATGGATTTGTCAAATTTGCGGATGAGAGAGAGCAACAAAGGGCAATGACTGAGATGAATGGTGTGGTCTGTTCAAGTCGGCCGATGAGAATTGGCCCTGCAGCTAATAAAAAGCCTATGAGTGGCCCAACTCAAACAGGTTAGAATTTCAAAAATCTCTTGGCATCTCTTTTGTTTAATCCGGCTTTCTCTTGTGCTAACAGCTTTACAGTTTCTGCTATCTGCATTATATTTGCTTATGTTCAGTTTTATGCCGTGTATTGTTGTTCCTTATAGCTGTTCCTTTTACGAGCATATGAGAAGCAATTAGGTTGTCTTGATGTGCTTCTGAAGTTTGGTGTCTTAAGATTTAAGAAATCTTGCAGCTTTTCAATTGAAGATTCCCGGGCTCTATTAAAGTCTTCCTTCCAGTAATTTACTAGAATTGGACATATACAATTATATAAGACATGAAAAAGCTTATAAAACTCATGTTGTCTCAAAGCAGGGAAAAGAGAGGCTCTCATTTACGGGGGCCTGGAACTGATTTCAGCTGAAATGATTCCTGTATAATGGGTGGTCTCCTTTTAGGTCAGTTAAATTTGCTTTTGGAATAAGCTTCCTCCATTCAGTCGTGGCATTTCTTTCGCTACATATTGGATTCCTAAAATTTTCCCTGTAATTTTTCATTCAATTAAGTATTGTTCTCGTGGAAAGATTTCCTTCTATTGCCACCTTTTCAATTCAGCTATGTCCATATCTTCCCGTCATTTAAATTATTCTGGGTTTAATTATTTATAACCTGAGCATTTCGGCTGGTACTTTTTTGTCTCTTTCCTTCTAATTTTTTTAACTCCCCATACACCGAAAATTTAACAGCTTTTTGATTATTTTCTTCTGTTGGTTTCATATTTTAAAATTAGTTACGTCTGTCCAGTTCAGGATTGGTTATTAGCTATCTGCATGCTAACTGATGCTTGCAACTTTCTCATGTCACCTAAGAGAAAGATAACTGCTTTGCAATGAGATATGTACTGAAAAATGTTTGGTCTTCGCTGGCCAAAGGCAAAGCAGTACTGGCAGGGTCAAATACTTTAGTCAATTGAAGTCATATAAAATCATTAACTACTCGGAGTTCCTAGTTTCTACAACGATCATATAAATCATATAAGTGGATCTTTCATGATTATTCTTTTATCATGCGTACCGTGTCTCGTCGAGTATACTAGGAAAAAGAATAATAATAGGAGAAGGAATATGTTAATTTTACCTTTAGAACCAAAACCAGATCAGGAAGGCATTGATGCAGCATTTTGAGAACACTTTTATACAACTTATATTGCATTTTGTTTGTGGCACTTTGCGGAAGTAGTCTTGCTTAAAAATGATGAAGTGCAAAGAACCCGAATAGCACAATAAACACTTTGTTTTCTAGATCACAGTTGGAAATGAATGTGTCTATAGGATTTATGCCGTATTAACTATTAACTATATGATGGCCTTATTATATGTAGTTCTCATCATTGAGATACCTACTGCATCATATTTTGCTAGTGCTTGGGGTTATGATTTTTACTGAAATGGTTAATAATGTATATTTGCTTCTCTATGTGAATATCTAAATTTTTTTTTTATCCGTTGCTTGAATGAACTGAGATATTGTGAAGATAGGTTTATTGGAACAAAATGTTGTGCAAAGTGGTTGACCTGTCCCTGACATGCTCTTGTCACAACTCAAAGATGTTCATAATTTAGGGTTTGTGTCCCGGCATGAATTATGTGTAGGGAGTTGATAAGAAGTAGGCGTATACATCTGATTCTTTACAGTTTCAGATGACAGTTTCAAATTTCACTCTTCATGGCTTTTTTGTCATTTGCAGCTTCGTATCAGAATTCTCAAGGAAATCAGGGCGAGAGTGATCCTAATAATACAACAGTGCGTAATTTCTCTTATTGTATGACTGTTTGTCCTACCTTTTCATTGTATATTTGTATTGACCCTCAAATGCAAGTGCAGATATTTGTTGGTGGTCTTGATCCCAGTGTGACAGAGGACTATCTGAAACAAGTTTTCGCTCAGTACGGTGAGGTGGTCCATGTTAAGATACCAGCAGGCAAGCGTTGTGGGTTCGTTCAGTTTGCTGACAGGTAAAAACTGGTAATTATTTCTTGTGCAAATAAGATGGTAATTTTGTAGTCTCACATATCCTCTGCATGTTTGATGAAGGTCCTGTGCTGAGCAAGCTTTGTCCAGCTTAAATGGTACCCCGCTAGGATCTCAGAGCATCCGACTCTCGTGGGGTCGCAGTCCTTCAAACAAGCAGGTTTGCAATTTAATGATATCTGAAAAAAAAAAACCGTGGCTTAGTTCAATTTTGTTTTGCTATCAAAATGTCAGTGGCTATTCAAAAATTATTAGTATCTCCTTGACTGCCCTTCCTTACAGGGTCATTTTGTAAAAGTTAGTTTGACGATTCTCAGTGGTTATTTGTTATTTTGGGAGATGCAAGAGATGGCTTATTTATTTATTTATAATTTGCTTTTGGTAGCTGTTTGTGCACAAAAGTATTATAATTCATTGTTTGTGATGTAGTCTCAACCGGATCAGAACCAGTGGGGCGGTGGAGGGTATTATGGTGGATATACACAGGGACAGGGGTATGAAGGGCAGGGTGGGTATGCTCCACCTCAAGACCCTAACATGTATTACGGAGGCTATTCTGGATATGCAAATTATCAGCAGCCACCACCACAACAGGTATTACTTTGAATTGAGTTTCTATAACGATATGCATTGTTAGATGTTACTTTTTAGTGAGTGAGTACAAATAATATGTATGTTTTTATTGGTAGAATAATCTTACCATTAGCGTTTGAAAGGGGATATGAATTTGAACGGCATTCACATTTGGAGTAGATTTGCTGACTGCTTCTTCTCCTTGTTACAGTGATGCGTGCGAGAGGAGTCATTTGGAAGTCGAGCATTGGGCATGTGATATTTGCTTAGTATGTCGATGATTCACTTGAAAAATTATATTTTGGTTTGTGTTGCTTGGTACTTTTGTTTTGTTGACCTCTTTTTGCTTTTTTTATGAGTGGGAGTTTCTGTGGCGTGTTATCGACAGATGCTTGCTTATTATGCGATTACGCTTTAGTTTTCTGAATTAAAATGGCTTTATTTGGAGATATGGAGGTTTATTTGGGAAGGCTAGAACTTGTGAATTGTGTTGTTTGGGTTCAACTTGAAGGGTCTGGCTGGAGATCTTCTTGAACATAATAAGAAATTTTGCTTTTATAAAAAGCGAGATAAATTCTAAACATACAATGATTAAATATGATGATGTTTAAAATTATTGGTGAGGGATAAGAAAGACAGTCACTTCACACTCGATCAAAATCTGAGTTGGTCTATTGCATAAATATTGGTTCTCGAATTTTAATAATATAAACTTACAAGTCTCATTTCTCTATTACATAAATATTGGTTCTCGAATTTTAATAATATAACAAGTCTCATTTCTCCATTCGCAATGTGTCATATCAGCCAAAACATCATAAACCTCCAATAACAGTAAATTTCATAAACCTCTTACTTAATGAGTCTCACATTCTTCCCACTTGTTTTTAGTTAATATTATACTCTTCTATTTTTACTAATATATTGGGTAAATTGCGCCAAACTTCCCTGTATTATACGAAATCTGCGCGTTTTCCCCCTGTATTTTAAAAATTGCGCCATACCCCCTTGTAATATACTTTTACATGCACGAAACCCCCTAAACCGTCAAAAATG